ACATATAAAGAACACCAAAATCGGAGTCCAAATGACCCCTCAAATCCCCATTTTTGTTCTCTTAGGTTTCAAGCCCTAAACCACCATTTTTGACCTTAAATCCTTGAGTTTTCAGTCTAATTTCATGTGTTTGCACCATAAAATCGTGTTTTAGGTTTAGAAATTCTTACCTCATCTGCGGCTCCCGCTTTTGCGGTCAATGCACCGCTTCTGCGCACATATCCGCTTCTGCGGTTTAATATCCGCTCCTGCGCCTCCCGCTTCTGCGGACAAATTAACGCATCTGCGGATCCCCATAAGAGCTCAAATACCGCATCTGCGGTCCTCCTGTCGCATCTGCGACTCCGCAGATGCGGTCACCAATTCCGCACCTGCGGTCCCTGCCGCTTCTGCGTCTCTCCTCTCGCTTCTGCGGTACCGCTTCTGCGGTCCCAATTCCGTAGAAGCGAAAATACCTGAAGCAGCACAGGTTCTGCAATCTCTTAAGTTCAAAACTTCCCGTTAGCCATCCGAAATCACCCCGAGGCCCCCGGAACCTCAACCAAATATACAAGCATGATCCAATACCTTATTCAAACTTGCTCCAATCATTAAAACACCTCAAACAACACTAAAACCATCATTTCTCATCGAATTCAAGCCTAAGTTCTTCTAAAACTTCCGAAACACGCATTCGATCAGAAACTCAACCAAAACATCTCCGAATGACCTGAAATTTTGCACACATATCCAAAATCACCTAACGAAGCTGCTGCAACTCTCGGAATCTCATTCCGACCCCCGGATCAAAATCTCACCCACCAATCGGAATTCGCCAAAATACTAACTTCGCCAATTCAAGCCTAATTCTACATCGAACCTCCAAAATCAATTCCGATCGCACTCCTAAGTCACAAATCATCCCCCGAAGCTAACCAAATCATCGGAATTCAAATCCGAGCCCTCTAACACAAAAGTCAACATCCGGTTAACTTTTCCAAATTAAGCCTTCTTAAAAGAGACTAAGTGTCTCATTTCTTATCAAAACCATTCCAAACCAACTCTAACACATCAAATACTGATAATGAAACTTAAAGAAGCATAACATGGGGAAAACGGGATGGTAACTCACGTGACGACGGGTCGGGTCGTCACAAGATTAACTCAGTATTTGGAAGAACAAAAAACATTTAGTGTTAGGGCAATATGTGAGTTGAAACTGAAAAAGGAATAAAGGAGTATTTGAAGTTGAAATTTTTGTGGGAGTTATTGTGTTGAACATGAACGTTTTCACTTGAAAAAAAAAACATTTGTGAATATCAAAGATTTTTGAGTGAAAATTTATACTTGCACTAAATATAACCTTCAAACTAATATTTCAATATCTACTTGAATTCAAATACTAAATTTCAATATGGTTAGTGGCAACTAGGGGTTTGCAAACCGCACCAAACCGAAAACTCAAAATAAACCGATTAAGTCTGGTTTGATTTGATTTGGTATTGCGTAAAAAATCTGAACCAAACCGATATATAAATATATATTTTTTATATATACTTCTAAGACTTTATATAGAATTTTCTTTACAAAAATTCTAAAAATATTTGGGATTCTCTTATGTGATGTAGTATTTAATAGAATATGAAGTACTCCATTTTTATTAACCTTAAGTAATGGGTTATATGTTTACTTTCGTATCAAGTGTTACTGAAATACGTCAATCTCTTTATTCCTCCATGTTCATATGTCAAGATTTATTAAATTCTTATATCTTTTTCGAATTTGATTCGACAATCTAAAATTAAATAGAACATATCATTAATTAGGTATCATATTGATTTTTATGTTTAATTAGTAAATTCGTTTAACCTTGAAAGTATACATCAACGAAAAAATATTGTCAGGCGAAAAAAAGTAACTATCATATGCTATTAACAAAATTCTCCCATAAAATATTTTTAATAGATCACATGTTTGTCAATTTTTTTAATTTTTACTAAATATATATTTACTTATAAGAAATTTAACAAAGTAAGATTGAAATAATATTCATGTAAAAAAACTCGAAAACCTCGACAAAACTGAACCAATCCAAATCGATATAGTTTGTTCGGTTTGGTTTTGATAAAAGAGGAATTTTTAGAAATCACTATTGTTAAGTGGTTATTAATTTCAAACAACTACCATATTTATAATACTTCATATAACTATTGTTCAGTTGTTACGATAGTGTATTCGCGTTGTTGTATTCATGAATATAGCAGCAAAAAGCGCCTAAATATCAGGGTATTCCAGCTGTACGCGCATGTATTCACATGTATTCGCGCCATGTACTCATGAATACAGCAACAAAAAGTGCCTAAGATCAGGGCAGTCCGATTGTATACGCGCATGTATTCGCGTTGATGTATTCATGAATACAGCAGCAAAAAGCGCCTAAAATCAGGGCAGTCAGCTGTACGCGCATGTATTCACATGTATTCGCGTTGCTGTATTCATGAATACAACAATAAAAAAGCGCTTAAAATTAGGGCAGTTCAACTGTATGCGCATGTATTCACATGTATTCATAAATACAGTAATATCAATCACCTAAAAAATAGGTATGTTCAACTGTCTAAGAAAGAGGAAAAACATAAATAGTTTATTTCATGCCTCAATGATATTATATACTATAAATACTTATTTTGCTATAAAATCTAAAAGATAGATATAGAAAATAATATTTTAAAATAATTTTGATTTATAATAAATAGGGTGTATATCTTTGCCATAGAAGGTAAAATTTTCTCAATAAAAACCAAACCAGCCGGTCCATGTAAACCTCTAGTGGTAACATGCTTACACGCACCCATATCCATGTGGCACTATTGTTAGTCAACTCTATTATTTAATACATCAATTTTGCAAAATTGTATTGAGAAGAGAAATAGTTTTGGGACGGGAGACTTGGATTTAGATTTGATAGGAATGGTACTACGAGCACACACGTCTTTTAATGTTTAGCAATCTCATATATTTGATAGGGACTTATTCTCGAGATTTTAAGACCTCTATTTTGTCGCAATAATCAACATAGGTACTTTATTTTATTTAGTTGTCCTAAGAGAATATACGCACAAATTGATCAATCCTTACTCGAGGCACTTTTTTAACTGGGAAAGAGTTATGCTAAGTGTGGAACAAAAAGAAATTTGATGATATAAAATCAGCTGGTAAGTTTATATACGTTGCTATCTTTTAATCATAATTAATTAATATAAATTTTTATTTCTATTTAATGACTTAACTATCATAATTTGATGAATTTAGTGTAAATATTGGGCACGGTGACTTTCGTTCATTCCTTAGAGTAGAGCTTCTAATAAAAAATATAGGTCAATTTATTTTTTGGGATTTAAAAAGAGGGGAAACTGGAGAAGATTTGGCAAGAGGTTTGAGGTAAAGGTAGAGTTAGGATTCGAACATTATGAGTTTGAATTCAAATTTTTATTATAATTCATTGAATTTGATGGGTTCAAAATGTTGTGGTTTGAACCAAAATAACTCAATTCGATTGCATTACTATATCTTTAACAACATACACATGTAATTCGATGTCATGTAATTACTAATAGGAGAACTACATTTGACTTTTTTTAAAAAAAAAACGTATACATACCCTGATGTTTACATATATCACTTAATCATACTTAATTAACACATATTTTTTGTCTATCTAATCACTTAACTATGATATATTAATGTAATTTAGTATAAACATCTTGAGGTGCTATTTGTACATCATGCCCCTTTACAATTTAGATCTCTTATGTGTAAAAGTAAATCTTTTATGCGTAGAAAAAAAGGCGGGATGATATAACTCAAAACAAATTTATAAAAGCCACAAAGAGCCCGTTTGGATTAGCTGATAAGCATGAGGTGCTGAAAAGCATTTTTAAGTGCTGAAACTGATTTAATAAATAAGCAGTTACGTGTTTGGATACAAGTACTGAAATTGCAAATAAGTTGCTGCAGTTTATATGATAAAAAAGTGCTGATAAGCTATTTTTCTATTAAAATGACTTATATAGCCTTAGAATTATTTACACTTATAAGGGCGTAATTTATTCAAAATTTTATATTCCAAATCGATCCAAATACAAAATATTCTATTTGTCATTTTATTTTAAATATAATTGTGCTAGATAAGATAACTTTTATGATAAATATAATTTATTATACGATAAGCATATAATCATAAGTTATACAATAATTAATAAATTGATAAAAAAAATTTAGTAAAAAATAAACCTAAATAGGACAAAATATTTGAAGAGAAACAAACATTGTCTTCATCACCACAACACTTAGAAAGGAATACACCAAGATTAATATACAATCACATAGATATAAATATGCAAAGAAATAGAGAATTTTCTTATCTTAAATAGTCAATGAGAATTGCAGACTTGAAGAGGCGGGGGGAGGGGGGCAGTGGCGGATCCTGAATTTTAAAGTAATGGGTGCTTACCGGCAAAAAATCCGAAAAAGATGAAAAAGGAGTTTAATTGTGAGTTCTCACTCTATATTTATCTAACTATTTTTATAATTGCCTATGCAAATTTACTAAATCTGGTTAAAAGTAATGGGTGCTCAAGCAGCCACAAGTGTCCATGTACATCTGCCACTGGGGGATGGGAGGGGGGGGGGGGTTAGGTTGAAATAATACGCGAGACACTGAGTATCGATGTAAGAGTTTTGTTCTAAAAAAGAATATTTTAAGGATAGAATAGTAAAAATTTTGGTCAAACTTAAAGTGCTTATAAGCTAGAAATTCATAAGTTGGGGGTGACCGGCTTATGATTTTTGGCTTATAAGCACTTTTAAATTTACCAAACGCATAAATAAGCTAAAAAATAATTATAAGCTAGTTGCCAAACACCCTCAAAATCAGTTAGACCCGCTATTTATAGTTTGGTGACTTTTTCCCTTCATTCTTTAGAGTGGAGCTTTGGGATAAAAAAACCATAGAAAAAGTTCATTTGTTTTTTAATAAGGGAGGAAATTGGGTATAAATATAGAAGGCGGGCAAAACAGGGGAGGGAATCGAGGATGGAGCAATAGAGAGAAAAAGACTGACCCGTAGGAGCTTCCAATCCACTTCCAACCAGCGAAAATGCCGCTTTAACTCTCTCTCCCCCCTCTCTCTTTGTCTCTCTTTTAACTTTGTACATACAAACTCAAAAATTGAATTTATATTCTTCTTTTTTTACTGATTCCATATTTTAATTAATATTAAAATAATCTGTACATAACGATCTTCTATACCTCCATCTTCCTGTCTTTTATGCTATATGCATTATTATATATATTTATCATATATATAGGTATATATATAGTATCACCCCTGTTCGTTCAATCGGATTACAGTATCTCTGCAGCATAAAGATTTGGTGGTAAGCCTATTTTCCTCGCCTTTTGATTTGGTGCTCATAGTTATTATTTTGCAGTTTGGTTCTTTGTTCTTTTTTTCCAGATGTGATTGCTTAATCATGTGTGCAACTTGTATTATAATATGTCTACTTGAATTGGGTTTTAATTTTGATGCATCAAATCTATGTGGGTCCTTAGCAAAAACTTTTAATTTATTTATTAACCATATTGCGTTTTCTGTTTGAAGAAATTCCTGATCTTGGTGGAAAATTAAATAGTAATGAAAAATAAATTCATTTCTCTTGACCTGAAATAGTTTGTTCCTATTTCATTCTCCTTTTATGTTAAAAGTTCTATCTTTTGATTCTTGATTACTTTGAAACCCCCCAAAAAAATTGCCTTTGGTATGTTCTGTATTTGATTGATGCCCTAATGTGTTCTTATCCTTGTAATTGTATTATTACTTTGTTAGGTTTCTGAATTTGGGGGGAATGAATAGTGTCAGTTTACGACGAGTATATAGTTCCAGAGCTCCTAATGTATAACTTCTCAAGTTGAGCAATAGTAGATGGATTCAGCTAGGAGTTGGTTCCAGAAGTTTCAACCACGAGATCGTTTAAGGTCATCGACCAAGAAGAAAGATTCAACAATGGGTAGTGGAAGAGAAGATCCTCAGCCTATGTCAGCTGAAGAGGCCTCCAATGTTACGAAGCAGAGGGTCGCTGCAGCAAAGCAATACATTGAGAATCATTACAAGGAGCAAATGAGAAATTTGCAGGAGAGAAAGGAGCGGTACATCATACTTGCTGCTTTTATAATCTTTTTATGAGTTATCTTTAGTTCCTAAACTTACTTCTTCTTTCAATATCACCTTTCTTCTGAAAGGCATTTCATGTACCATGAGTTCAGATTTACATTGTGAATTTTCTCATTTTCCATGTTGCCATGAGCCTGTATTCTCCTATAACCTGTTCGAGGAATTATGAACGGTGGTTGGTAAAGGTTCGGAATACTTCTGTTGGCTAAAGTACTGCTATTTCCTTATCCAAACTTGTTTTGCTTCAAAACACTCACTTTTATATGCTTTTGTACACAATTCATTGCTATACACTTGAGCATCATTTCTTGTCCATATATTATATTCAGTATATTGCGTATATGGTGCTTTTTCTTTGAGCATCTACAACAAGGCATGTTGTTGGATTTTTTTTTTTTCAACAAAGATATTGTCCCGTCACACCGGTGTGGCAAAAATTACTTTTTATATGCTCACCTCAGCTTGTCATCTTATTTTCCTCTTGTAATCACTCTCCTCCATATTTCATGTGAACATTAACCTATCTTTTTAAATGGCTGATACTCTAATTACCCCATCTTTTTTCAGCTTAGAGTTAGTTGGTTTGCATAATAAGTACGAAAATGTTGTCACAAATTGTGATGAAGGTTTGATCACAGCTAACTTTTCTTTTCAGCAAGACCAGAAAATAAAAAAAAGTGTGTTTTAAACACGTTTAAATGGTTAGATATAAAAGTTTCATCAGTAAAACTCTGCGGTGCTTGTAAGGCATCTTGTATAATTGAAAGATGACAAACTAGTCAAACTTACTTCAATGACTGTGCCAGTCAATTAGCCAACTTCAAATGCACCAAGAGACTGATGGAAATAAGTAGGATTGGCTGTAGTGTTGCCTCATCCCAGATGTTAATACTTTCATTCATTCATTCATTTTCGAAGATGTTCACGGTCTTGCTGGTTAGCTGTTTATTTTTTCGTTCATTCATTTTAGAAGATGGCGCATGTCTTGCTCGTTAGCCTGATTTGGCAGAATTGTCATACTATATAAAGAATAACACCCTTTACCTTTTTTGATCTGCCTAAGAATTGCATAGTCTTGATATTTCCGAATAATTCGCCCTACCAAGTGCTTTGAAATATATTCTTTTCCTTTTTATATTTGGCCACCAGTCGAATGGTACTGGAAAAGAAGCTTGCGGATGGTGATGTCTCAGAGGAAGATCAAAATAATCTACTGAAATTTCATGAAAAGAAGGAAACTGAATACATGCGTCTGCAAAGGCACAAAATGGGTGCTGATGATTTTGAGTTATTAACAATGATTGGGAAAGGTGCATTCGGGGAGGTAATGTCTCTATTGAAATATCTAATTGCCTGTATATGCCTTTGTTGATCTCTTCTACAATTTTGTTCTGTTATTAATGCAATCCTCTATAACCACAGCTTTTCATTTTTCCTAGTTCTGAATGTTGATGTTAAGACCTCTCACAAAACTCTCACACAAAATAAGTAAAATTTTACAGCTCTCTATTTCTTTTGATTTCCGTAGAATGTAGATGATGAATTGTCAAGTCTTTTTTCTCCTTTGGCAATGAACTCCAGACTCCAGAGAAAATTGAAGGCGTGAATATCCACAATTTTGTTGATTACATTTACAACATTAAGATCTTGGATATTCATGATAATATATTTGTATTTGTAGTTTATAGTAATAATGTGCTCTAGTCATGTCAATACTTATTAAAGGAACAAGAAGAAGGTACTACAGCTGGCAACCATGACCGCGACCAACAGCGCTGTGAGTACGTGCCTTTTAAAGTAGGTTGAAATTGAGGAGCTGTTTAAGAATCATGTGCTTTATTAATTTCTGGATGGAAGAGGGTCTCTCTTAGACTTTACTCAAGTAATAAGTTAGGTTTTTCCATCTTTTCTTTGGGCTCTATTTGCCACTGCTGGGGATCATGTCTCTGATTGACATCAACTTTTCTACGGCAAGAAGTGTTAAACTCGTAATCCTCGTTGGTGATGTTTTCTCCTGTAGTATTAGCTAAGACACTAGGAGATACAGATATTTATTATAGTTGACACGAGCTTAAAAGTGATTATCTATTACAGATAAACTGATTTCGAAGTGGCTGAGCAAAGCTAAAGACACTACAATTACTAATAGAGGGGGATTTTAGGCCCGTGCTCCATGGTGCAAACTGAAATAAAATCTAACTAATATAGCGATTTACTGATTTGTCATTCCCTGGGTAAAGAATGAAAATTAAAAGACACCTGAAGCTTCCGTGTGAATCTAATGACATTCTAATGAGCAATAAGGAATTTTTCACCGCAATCTGTCCTACGATTCTGCCTCTTAATTAAGGCTTCTTTGGCATGGAATGGACAAATGGGCAACTTCTTATTCTTGTGTAAGCTGAGATTTTTATTTCCTTTTTTTCCCTTTAATTAATACCTGTGAGCTAATTGCGGTGCTTCTGGATATAATAAGGTGTTGCCTCTTTTTAGAAATAGGTTTTCTGGGGGCCAGAAACAATTCTTCTCACCCTTTCTCGTGTCAAATCTATGGGTTTCATAAGAATTTCTTTGTCAAAGCTTTGAAAATAGACTTTTATGCTAGGAAGTGCTCTGCGCATGAGTCGCAAGTTTGTCGTGAATTTCCATTAGGTAGTTTCTTGCCCGTTTAGGAATGCATCATATAAGCAGGTTGTCCCATGGTCTGCAAATGTAGTAGTCAGACTAAATGACTTGTTGAATATGCTGGAGTGCTTGCATTATACCTTCAACTCACTGTGTAGTAGCAGCTAAATATTTCTGAACTCGATATCATGAAAGAAATCCCCTTCTCAAAAAGTGTAAAGAATGTGAACGATTTGGCTTTTTTGTCATTACAGGTTAGAGTTTGTAGAGAAAAAACAACGGGTCATGTATATGCGATGAAAAAGCTTAAGAAATCAGAAATGCTTCGTAGAGGACAGGTACATTGATTATGAACAAGAGTGCCATAATGGTTCTTACTACTATATTTACTGGTCCTTAGCTTTTGGATCCTATTAGGTTGAGCATGTAAAAGCAGAAAGGAATCTGCTCGCAGAGGTGGATAGTAATTGCATTGTCAAACTGTATTGTTCTTTCCAAGATGATGAGTTTCTATATCTCATCATGGAATATCTACCTGGTGGTGATATGATGACTCTACTCATGAGGAAGGATACACTAACGGAAGATGAAGCCAGATTTTATGTTGCTGAGACTGTTTTGGCTATAGAATCTATCCATGTACATAACTATATACACAGGTGGTAACTTATTTTGATGCCTGGACGCAATTTGTTATGTGTTATTTCTACATTCGTACTGGACCTCTCACCTCTTTAAATATTCTAACCTGGTTTCCCCTACACTTTATTTTCTGTAGAGACATTAAGCCTGATAACTTGCTGCTGGATAAGTTTGGTCATTTGAGACTATCGGATTTTGGACTTTGTAAGCCTTTAGACTGCAGCACCCTGGAAGAGAAGGATTTCACGGTGGGTGATAGTGTCCATGGAGCTTCCCGGAATGGGTCTTCAGCTCCCAAACGCACTCAGCAAGAACAGTTACAACACTGGCAGAAAAATAGGCGGACGCTTGTAAGTTTCCTCCCATTTGGATTTTTGGTTGAACTTCTTCCCTGTTTTATTCCTTTAGAAGACACTGGTTACCTCTTATTGCAGTATGTCATTCTTTGTTGGTAATGTTGTTGAAACAATCATTAGAATTGTCCCATATTGGTTAATCAAATGAGTTGTTGTCTCCTTCTATGGTCTTGGGCGATCCTCATTTCATGAGCTAGCTTTTGGGGTTGATTTAGGCCCAAAGTCCATTTTCTTAACATGGGATCAGCGTCAAACCGATCCTTATTCTTGATTTACCCAATGTTCGGACCCCATATTATTTTGTCCACGCTTCAGATGTCCAATCCTAGGCGTGCAGGGAGAGGGAACGTTAGAATGTACCACATTGGTTGATCTTGGGTAATCCTTACCTCATGAGCTAGTTTTCTCACACTGACCATGCTGCTTACCACTTAACCTGCTGACTTACGTAGCAAAATTTATGCGGTTCTGTGGATCATTTTAGAGTTGATTTTGTGTGGTTGAAGAAGTCAATCTCTTTATCTAACTAAGTTCCCCAATTGGGGTAATCCAGGCATATTCTACAGTGGGAACACCAGACTATATAGCTCCTGAAGTCCTGCTGAAGAAAGGTTATGGAATGGAGTGTGACTGGTTAGTACAGTTTTCTCATGTATATGGATGCGCTCTTTGAGTACTCTTTTTTGCTTTTGCTAATTTCTTGAAAAACGTGATCTTATGTTTTAAGTTGCTCCAGTTCTTCATGCTTCTAACTCTTCTTTTCATGGCTCTTGCTTACCATGTCCTCTTCTCTTTAGTTTTCATTATTTTAGGTGTATCTTTTTTGGGGGTGGTTTTGGGGTGGGGGTGGGGGGTGGGGTAATCCATGTGCTTTATATATTTATCCTCATGGCATAAATTGCTCTTGTTCTTCAGGTGGTCACTTGGTGCTATTATGTATGAAATGCTAGTGGGTTATCCACCTTTCTATTCTGATGATCCCATGTCAACGTGTCGCAAGGTGAGCTTCTGAGTGCTGCCATTAACGATCATCATTGAATTTTATTTCTTTATGTTTCCTTTAGTTTGATTTCCTTATTTCCTATCTTCCCTCATTGGGCTAGTTCTACAACGGTCTCATATCATCTCATCCAAACCTCTGATTATTATCTTCATCCGGTCAATTCTTGGTGCTTTACTTTTCTTATAGTCCAATTTATTTATCTATATCTTCTATATAATGGATGAAGGACAGGAATTGGAATTTTGAAATTTTTGCTCACACTTTGCTCCTTGGTGTTCCTTGAGCTGTTTGTTTGTACTACTCTATTTGCCCTTAAAAGATCCTGTTGTTGTTGAAAGACTTATCTTGCTCACTGGGGCTTTTGCATGTTCCCATTTTTCTTGTGTCTCCATTTACTCATTTGCTGTCAACTTACTCAACGTACGTTGTTACTCCTTTGTCACAGTAATTTATCTCTTTCTGCTTTTCGAAATTAATTTGACTGATCTCTTCATATGTGAAATCAGCTTCTTATAAAACTCTTATTCAGAAAATGCACGAAGAAACTAAAAGTTGTTTTTTTTTGGGGGGGGTTGTTGGGGGGGGGGGGGGGAGTTTTTTCGAGTATTTTGAATAATCTCTTATTCGGAAGAAACATGAATATGTTGGAAGTCGGGTTTTATTCCTTTGGCTTCTAAGTACCAAAAGTATGTTTAAACAATTTTTGGTGTTATTAGATTCCATTTACTCTTGTTAAGCTAAAAGCCTTTAATTCTTTAGGGCAAATAATTTTGAAGACCTTGCGAAATCTACAGAATATAACCTAAGTCCTTGAACAATTTTAGACTCAGATAACCACTTCAACTGCAAACATGGCTTCTAGATGCCCTTCCACTTGATTTGATATTTGACGGTTAAGAAAGGAGAAAATGCAATGCTATTAAACTTTAGAGCTAAGGATTTTTTTTTTCTTTTATGTTTCTAGAATTCAACTTACTAAAAGCTTTATTTGTTTGATCATCTAGCTCCCCTCTTCACCCCTCTCTTTCTCTTCCCTGCAGATTTATGATTGACTAATCTATATTTTAGAATTATACTATGATCTTTTAGAATGGTAGTCTCCACAAGGACAAAGGAAAAGCAATTGGCATGATGGGAAGAGATGGTTAGGTGAATTAGAATGTGGTGTTGATGGATTGGGGTTGGCAAAGGAAAAGAAAATTACCAAGCAAAAAAAAAAAAGAAAAAGAGGCTGCTGGTACCTGGACATAAATGTAGAATTGAGTAACTGAAGCTTAAGCTTTTCCTCAACTGTTCCCCACATCCATATGATACGCCTATTTCTGGTTTTTGTTGATCATAATCGTATCAATGGGCTTATAAAACTATTTGCTACTTTGATGAGCTTCTTTAGTCTTACACAGTTAATGACCATGGTTATTCTTTGATCAAATCGTCAATTGTTGCAAATATCATATGCGCTAGCTCTTCATTATTTATAATTAAAATAGTGATTTTCTGCTTTGCTTATTTTATTTCAGAAGATGTGAAAGGTTTAATCCAATATATAAATAGGTAAAGAATCATTAGTATGGTAGGAGCATTAGCTTAAAAAGATGAAGGGTGGTAACAGAAATGGGAGAATGGAAATGAGTGCGCTTTTCTCATCCATTCAGTTCATAATTATTGGCTCAATTTGATAGTTCCAAAAGATAAATAATAAAAGAAAGGGTTAATGAGGCAGGAGCAGAAGGGTAGAAAGATAAACGAAAGTGAGTCTTCGGTAGTGTAATCATATATATCGTTATTCGTAACTAGGCATCTGAAATGCTCTGCGCATTCTGATGGTCAGTCTACTACTATTTGTCATTCCTTATTTTTAAGCTTGTTTCTAGAAGCTATTTCCACATTATGTTTAAGTCCTTTACCTTTTTTCTTATTGGCTTCCTGGAGAACATTTTTCCATCTTTCTTTTCTTTTCCCTGAAAAATTAGGATTCATCTCTTCATCTTATAAGCTACTCTGCCCTTGATTATCCTCAAAAGATTGCAAAAGAAAAAAAAAAGATTCTTAAAGAGGGCCCTTAGAATCTTGTCATCTGTATAATTTTATCCTTGTACCTGCAGATAGTAAACTGGAAATCGCATTTAAAGTTCCCAGAGGAAGCAAAGCTATCTCCAGAAGCGAAGGATCTCATAAGCAAACTTCTTTGCAATGTTACTCAGAGACTAGGTTCAAATGGTGCTGATGAAATAAAGGTGTTGTATGGTGTGTTCTATTCTATGTTCTTTTACAAGTTCCACAGTTCAATAGCAAAGTGTAAATTGCATGTTCCTTTTTTTTTTTTTTTTGCTTTCTGTCTTTTGTTTCTATATCAGGTCCACCCGTGGTTTAAGGGAATAGACTGGGACAGAATCTATCATACGGATGCTGCCTTCATTCCTGAAGTTAATGATGAGTTGGACACCCAAAACTTTGAAAAGTTCGAAGAGGTATTGATATCCCTTGTTTTCTTCTGCTATTTTATTTCACACTTTTGATATCTTCTTGTTGGCCCTGCAGTCCGAATCTCATTCTCAGAGTGCATCAAGATCTGGTCCTTGGAGGAAGGTATTTACTCCGGTGCATCATGTGGGATTGCATTTTGTTTCTACATTCTACATTCTGCATACTGCAATTTCTGTCATAATTATAGACAGAAATGATAATCACAAATAACCTTACCTGTAGTGTAAATTATCATTGATGTGCAATAAGGTTGGTTATTTTCTTGTAGTACTTGAATTATCTGTTCTCCACCTTCCCCTTGTTTCTTCCTTTAACTTTGGAGCCATTTTTCGTAAAAGTATTTTGCAATCTACATCAAAGTTGCAATTTACAAAAAAAATTGAACGGAGAACTTGTCTGGAAACCTTTAATGTAAGCTTGCTTGAGACATCTTTTTCAAAGGGGAACGATCCATGCTTATTCAAACAGAGGGGGAGAAGTTCAGATACTTTCAATGTAGCAGATATGCCCGAGTCATGTCTATGCTGGATACTGAAATGAAATACTCAAGCTGTGGTTAGTTCCATCTTTTTGTTAAAGTCTCGGCAGGACTTCACTGACGAGTTGACCAGTGATGTGTTAAGTGTGCAAGTATTTGGGAAACTTGAAGTTGCACAGTTTTGCAGCTGAAACTGGATAAAGGTGAGAAAGAAGAGGGAGGGCATGAAGTCAAACTAGTTTAGGGAGAAAGTCTGTTCTGTTTCCGGTTATAAGTTATGGCTCCCAAATAGATTTTACCTTCCATGATTGGATATTTAGGTGCACCCCAACAAAGATTCTCACTTTAGAAATGTCTGTAGCTGGATTTGTGTTGTTATTGTATTCTATTTGTCTCTAGCAGTGTTCCCGAGGTTTTCTGTTTTCATGATTTCTCTTGTCGTACTCTTAATTTGCTAACCCCTACAGTTCCTTCTTGACCTTTGTTAATTCTCTCTTTATCTCATTCTTACCCTACATTTGTGCAGATGCTCTCATCCAAGGACATCAACTTTGTCGGTTACACATACAAAAACTTTGAAATCGTGAATGATTACCAAGTGCCTGGGATGGGTCTCTCTCTCTCTCTCTCTCTCTCTCTCTCTCTCTCTCTCTCTCTCGCGTTTGATCGATCAGACTCATAAGTCCAATATCTAGGTTGTGAATATTTTTTTTAAAGAGTTCGATCGCATTTATATAAGCTAACATCAGATCCAACTTCATGATATCAAAGGACAATGACATAGTGGATATTGAATTCAGATACATTGAATAGCTGGGACCTCATTTGTTTAGCTTTTTCTAGTTGCTATTTTCTCTTCTCTTTTCTTATGACTATGTCAATGAACCAAACTTGAAATTACAATGCCAAAAAATGCTCAAGCCTTTGTGGTTGTTATCCATAAGCAAGGCCACACTGTGTGTTTTCACAGATCAACGGTTGGAATGCCTGGTTCCATGTCATGTTTTCTTATTTATTGACTCTTTGATAACCTGCGACATCTTGAACGGCTTGGAAGAGATAATTGGTTTAGTTTTATGCTCATTTGTGGAGCTTTCAACAATTCTCTATTATAAGTTTCCCCATTAAGCTTTGACCGGGTTGTAATATAATCAGCTAAACACATTTGGGTCAAGTAGTTTGGTTCCTTTCTGGATCCTGTATAATTGCTTATGGTATTCATTGGTGAGTGGATATCACAAACAAGGTGATTGTTAAGTTATTGGATCTATAAGCTCATTCTAAAGTTAGTATTTGATGTATTTGGAACAGATTTCTTCATTGCTGTGTTAAAAGTGACTGACTTTCAGGTCTCATTTTTTTCACAGCTGAACTGAAGAAGAAGAATACCAAGCCAAAGAGACCAACAATCAAAGCACTATTCGGTAATACTGACCTATCCCGTCTCCTTATTAAAGAATATATCGAATTCGCTTGATTCTTCCAGTGCAAATGTTTTGGTTCTGTCTGCTAGAGTCTTTGCTTTAAAACATCTGAAATACTAGTCATCTGCGTCGAATACAGTTTTATGCGTTATTATTTTGTCATGCGTTATGCGCGGGGATGTGGTTTTGCTTGATGCCATTTGGTCTGTCTAAGTTGCCTACCTCCTCTTTTGAGGAGAGTATTTATCATACTTCCCTTTTACTTAGTTTTGATATTGGCCGACTCAAAAAGAAACAGATAGCTTCATTATATTGTAGTACCTTTTGGTAACATTATGAGATTATATTTTTCCTCTTTGGAATTCCACATCAAGAACTCAGTTTTATCTCTTGTTTCTGCATCTGCTTTTCAAACAGAGGACGAGTCAGAAGGATCAGATACAACTAGTTCTCAGCAATCCCAAGGAAGCTTTGTGAATCTCTTGCCTCCATGATTTGAAGTTTGTGAGAAGCAGGACAAACTGAGGATAATTGCTGCTTTTCCACCCTGAGGTTTACTTTCAGTTAATTTTTGAGAGCTCCTTGAATCCGCTTGTAGCACCGAGTGAGTATAGAGTTTTGGCAGTTGGTTAGTGGCTATTTGATCAGGGATGTAAGTATTTAGCCTGATATCAAGAACTATGTTGGATATGAAACTACTGATGATATTGTTAGAGTTTGCTTGTAACAGTCGTCTTTTGATTATTTACTCATCTGAGAGAAAGACTTAGAGGTAATAACTGACATCTTTGATTTGTAGCACTATTATTTCTTCACTTGTTTTAAAACAAGAGTGTAACATAGAGCAATGGCATATTCAAATTTACTGTGTTCAGTTTGGGTGGTTAATGTGGTCCAAGTTCTCAGAGGTGGATCCATTGTTTTATACTACTACGAACTGATCTTCATCACAATGGTTGCCGAGTTAGTACAAATTATATTTGTAAATAAGTTTTTTCCATTCCCTAAACGAGAATAGTAATAAATATTTGAAAGAATTACAAGAAAATACACATAACAAAAAATGGCCCATATTTTTAAGTTTATCCGCTATAGCCCAATTTGTATACAATTTGAAGGAAAGATTTCAATCACTAACCTAGTTCTCTTTTTCCCTACACGCCCAAAATGCTCTCTCCTGATGCCTCTTCATTCTCTATAGGCCATCATCTTCTATCCTCCATATTTTTTTGATCTATCTCCCATATTCATCTTCTATCTTCTATAATTTTAAATCTATTTTTCATCCTATCTTTTCTCTTCTCTGATTTTCAGATCTAATTTTCCTTAATTTTTTTTTAATCTCTCAGACTTTCCTAATGCAAAAAGATGAAAGTCTAGAGTAAGATGAAGAATATGAAGTTAGTTGTTCGTTTGAAAGGATTGAGGAAGAAAATATTTGACCCATTAATGATTTAAGTAATTTTGATTGATAAATCTCTGAGTCTCTTACTGTGAGCATTTGGAAATTGGAATCGAAATATAAGTCCCAAAAATCATGATTCCACCACTGACGAAGCTAAAATTTTCAGATCTGGAAGTTTTCATTGTGAATTGGTGCTTCAATCCAGATGGGTATTGACTAATAATAGTATTTTTGATCGGGTGAGACAAAATTTAAGAATTTGGGATTCATCTAGACCTATCTGCTGATTGGTTCTTCTTCTTCTTCTTCTTGTTTCTTATTCTTTTTGATAATATTGATGTTAAACAGAGGTGTAGTGATGGACATAAGGTATTTTTCAGTGCATATACCGTATAACTGGTGTTTATACACACTTATACAAATATTGTATAATTATGTATAAAATAGGTATAAGTGTGTCGATTTTTGTATAATGATGTATAATTATATTTTTTTCAATGTATAAGGGTGTATATACATTATTATTGTATAAGAGGTCTTCATGAAGGTTTGACACTTTTTTTATATGGTAAATTTTATGTTGAAATAAAGGTTTAATGATGGCTGGAAAGTTTTTTTCTAGTGTAAAATATGCATGTTGAATTTATGTACATCCAGTGCATATGTTGTATACTCATACATATGTATTATATATATTGTATAAATATGTATATATATATATATATATATATATATATATACGAGCATATAATAATGTATTTACATTGCATTCGAATGTACAATTGTGTAGAAATATATATACATACTATATAAAATGACAATATACTCCTTTATTTGGTAAATTTCGGACAAAAATAAGGCAAAGAGAGGGAGAAAAAGTAAGGATTTAAAACCACGTGATGACTTGACTTTTTGTCAGATAGTCACATTAATCTGGAAGAGAAAAAAACAAATAGGAGAAATAGAAAAAAAAAAAAAAAAAGAAGGAAAGAGATCATAATGAGATTGATGGTCAGGCAATAATGTCAGTCAGGCAATAATGTTAGAGGACTTCATTGGCTATACGGATGAAAACTTAAAATGGTGGCTACGCGAATGAAAAGCATCTATGTGAGCTGTAATTATGTGAAATTATCCCTAAATATTTGTAAGTTTTTTCAGTTTCCTAAACAAGAACAGCCTGGCTTTCTTATAGCAGGTAACTCGAATTTTTGAAGTCAAATCCATGACTTAAAACACTCTTTGTACTCCCTTTACGATTACATTTAGGTTTATGTATTTATTTTTATTTTAGAAAATTAAGTACTTAATATAAAAAGCTGTAACTTTTGCTGTGAAAAGGAAAAGTAACGTTACTTTTACCATTATTGCATATGGGGATATGAATCGATCCTTTTACTGTTTTGCCTTTTTGGGAGTGACTTCTCACTTCTTCTTTTTCATATTTATTTACAATTACAAAGCTGAAACCTTACTTGCCTTCTTCTTTTCTACATTAACTTCTAAAAAGCTTTATGATAATTCTTACTTTTTCCTGTCAAAAGAACTACAAGAATCTTGTGATCATTCTTTGTGGAATAAAATACAAAGTTGGTAAGTACAAATTTTTTTCAATGATAAATTTTTTTTTTCTTTTCAAGCATTTTTTCCCTACATATTGTACTTGGAACTGATTTTGGTAGTCATTAGTCAATTAAGAGAGGATTGAAAAAAAATAAAATTTTATAATATGTATTGATTTTATATTACTTAAAATTTTACAATATGATGTGACTGCAATCTCATAAGACTCATATTCACAACGAATTCTTTTTGCTGCTTATTATAATGTAGAGTTGAAATTTTAATTCCGTTTAGAAATCTACTTTGATGGCAAGATCCGATCGAAGAGTATTGTATATATAAAATTGTATATTTTTTCGATTGAAGAGGACTGAATATACAAAATTGTGTACATTTTTTTTCCAGGTTTTCAAGCACAAAATCATTAAAAAGTTATTTGGGGATCAACTTATCAATTGAATCAGGTTATATTGTTCTAACCTTTTGCTATTTTTTTAATCTAAATTCTGTCATTTTTTACAGAGGCGGCTCAACACAGTTTGGGGCCTAAACCCAAACTGTAATTAGGGGCCTTAAGTTCCTCTAAAACAAAATTATACATATTTTATTTAAAGGCTATTTTTCTAGCTTTTTGAGTTGCAAAGTTATTAATAATTTTTTTATAATCTATTTCCTCTAACAATTCTTTTTCAATTGATAAAATGGCTAATCCATTTAATCTCTCTTGAGACATAGTTGATCTTAGATAAGATTTTATCAATTTTAATTTTGAAAAACTTCTTTTCCGCAGAGGCAACTGTTACAGGAACTGTTAACATTATTCTATAAGCAATATAGGCATTTGGAAAAGAATCAAGTCTTTTTATTTGATTGAGTATGTCGACTAGAGTATTATCTTCTACTTGTACTATTTCTCCCAAATACTTTTAATTCAGAAAATAAGTCTAGACCGTCAATATCAGAGTGACTATTATGTCTTAAAGACATTTCAAGGTTAAGGCAATATTTTTTCAAATTCTCATCATCTAATGACTTTAATTTTTTACCACTAAACAAAAAACCAAAAATACGTTCATACGCTTCGAATTGTTCAAATCTATTTTGAAGCGAAAGAATGGCTTGGTCTACTATATATAAAAAGTAATCTACTCTAAAAGATTCTTCAAGAGACTTTGTGGTTTCATTATCAACATTCTCATCAAATTATTTTTTTCTATAGATTACACGTTTTATACGAAATTCAGGTTCTATATTCATCTCATATGCAATTTCCTTAGCAGAAATCATAGCAGTTGTGAACCCTTCTTCTCTATATTTTTGAAAATAAGAAATAAGGCCTCTTAGTTGATCTATGACCACATCAATATGCATATCTTTTGATTGCAAACTTTTACTAACTAAATTAACAGCAAACAACATATCATACCAAATAGTCATACCCAATAAAAACTCAAAACTTTGAAGCTCGTATGTTGCTAAACAATTAGCTTCACTTTTAGTTTTTGGATCCTCACTAGCTTCTGCTAATTTCAATAAAGCATCTCTTATTTGTGGAGTTTGAAATCTTATCGCTTTGATACTTTCAATACGACTTTCGCAACGTGTTTGTGACAATGATTTAAGAGTTAGGTTGGGTATACTATCTTTTAAAACTTTCCATCGCTTAGTGGAAGAAGAAAAAAGTGAGTATATACGGTGTACCACTCCAAAGAATGATATAGCTTTTGTACAAGAATTAGCCATATCACAAAGTACCAAATTTAAATTGTGACAACCACATGGTGTATAGAATGATCTAGGATTTATATCGAGAAATCTTTTTTGCACTCCTTGGTGTTTACCCTTCATATTGGATCCGTTATCATATCCCTGTCCTCTTAAATTATCAATATCAAGTCCAATATTTTCTATCTCATTCATAATAACTTCAAAAAGACCTTTTCCACTTGTATCATCCACTTTTAAATATTCTAAAAAGTATTCAGTAATTTTTATTGGAGTTGCTGAAATATCAATACTCCGCAATATAAAAGACATTTGTTCTTGATGACTTATATCTGGAGTGCAATCAAGTATGATTGAGAAATACTTTGTTTCTTTGATTTTTTGAATAATTTTATTTCTAATCTCACTTGCTAACAAATTTATCAATTCATTTTGTATATTATGTCCAAGGTAATGATTATGAATTTCATCACGCTTAATTCGCCGAACATGTTCTTGCATGATTGGATCAAATTCCGCAATCATTTCAATCAGACTTAAAAAATTTCCATTATTTTCTTGGTATATCTTTTCATTTTTCCCCCTAAATGCCAAATTATTTTTTCCAAGTGTTTTTATCACAGCAATTATTCTTGTCAATACATTTTTCCAGTGCTCTCTATCTCTACTAATTTGTTCTTGAACATCTTTATCTATTATTTTATTTTTGTGCAATCTAATTTCTAAATCAATCCATGCACTCATATTAATAATATGCTCATTCGTAGTTTCATGAGCTTTGAGTTTAGTACCAAGGTTTCTCCAATCTCTAGTTCCTTCACTAGCTAGTTTACTGCTACAAGCACTAGAAGTTGTAGTAAATAGCTTGCAACAAAAACAAAATACTTTATCCAAGTCTTTAGAATAAATTAACCATCTCCTTTCATGTCTTTCCCCGTTTGCCAACTTTTGAATATAATGTGTAGCAGAAAAATATCTTAGGAATTTATCCTTGGAAAAATCTATTTCTGAATTCTAATTGGTCCTTTTTCTACTAATAGATCTCTCAACTTTGTATCTACATCAGTCCACTGACTAGGATCATATATATATTTTTAGGAGTGCAAGTATTCAATTCATTTAAAAGTTCTTGATTTTTTTGAGAATCTATGTCAGATTTCTCACTAGCTTCTTCTTTTTCTTGAATTTTATTATCATCTAACTCAACTAGATTAGTAACTTGTTCATTCAAAGAACACTCTCCCATATTTTCTAGTTTAGAATTTTTATTACTTGATAAAAATTTATCAAGTGCTCCTTTTTGGGATTGTATTAAAGTTTCAATTCTTCTCTTTTTTTGTAGTTTTGCATAACCGGATTCATATTTTCTAGTAGACATATTTTACTCTAGTAAACAACAAAAATTACAGTATAACTATGAAGTAAAAATATAAACTGCCTCCAATAGGCCTCACGCTGTGTGACAGGGAAAAACATATTTTGGGTGACTGACATGGTCCCTGATGCAGACGCTCAAACTGCCTCCAATAGGCCTCACACTGTGTGACAGGGAAAACTTCTCCAGAAATGTATGCGTGAACTGCTCCCAGGTCAAGGCTGGAGACCCTGCTGGTCTAGCTAAACAGAAATTCCTCCACCAAGTCTTGGCGGATCCAGATAGGCAAAATGCAGCAAAGTCCACTCCATTGGACTCAACAATACCCATGTTCCGAAGAACCTCGTGGCAACTGTCCAAATAATCTTGAGGATCCTCGGTAGATGCACCGCTGAAAGTAGTAGTGAAGAGCTTGGTGAACCTATCCAACCTCCATAAAGCATCGGCAGGCATAACTGCCCCATCACCGGCCTGGGCTACCATACCCGGCTGAGCTGCTCCAACTGGCTGAACTACTGGAGTTTGAATCGGGGGAACTCCCTGCTCCAGAGTACGAGTAGCAGGAGTTTGGGCCCCTCCTCCAGCCTGAGAGACAACTGGTGCTACAGAAAGCAAACCTGCTTGGGTGACGCTCTCCATGAGGCCCACCAATCGGACTAGAGCGTCCTGAAGAACTAGGATAGCAATAAACTCCTCTGGGACCTGAGCTGGGCCCACCGGAACTGCTGGGGCTGGGGTCGGAACCTCCTGTCAATGTCAACCTGAGGCTCCACCACTGGTGCTGCTGCTCGGGGCTGAGCTCCGCCCCTGCCTCGGCCTCTAGCACGGCCTCAGCCTCTAGCACGGCCTCGGCCTTGCCCTCTGCCCCTAGCGGGAGCTGTTTGGGGCCCGGACTGCTGATCGAAATTCCGGTTGATAGGTGAGATTTTGATCCGAGGGTCGGAATGAAATTCCGAGAGTTGCAGTAGCTTCGTCAGGTGATTTGGGATGTGTGTGCAAAATTTTAGATGATTCGGAGGTGGTTTGGTTGGGTTTTTGATCGAATGCGTGTTTCGGAAGTTTTGAAGAAACTTAGGTTTGAATCCGATGTGATTAAATGGTTTAGCGTTGTTTGATGCGTTTTGATGATTGGAGCAAGTTTGAATAATGTTTTAGGAAGGGGTTGGTGCTTTTGGTTGAGGTCCCGGGGGCCTCGGGGTGATTTCGGATGGCTAACGGGATGAAATTTGGAGTTTAAGGACTGCTGAAGGTCTGGTATCTGGTGTTTTCGCTTCTGCGGAAATGGACCGCAGAAGCGGTTCCGCAGAAGCGAAGGGAAAGCCGCAGAAGCGAGATGGGAAGCCTGGGGAGTTTTCGCAGAAGCGGACTGGAGGACCGCAGAAGCGGTCCCGCTTGCGATGGATGGACCGCAGAAGCGGTCCTGGGCAAAATTGGAAGAACCGCAGAAGCGGAACAAAATCCGCAAAAGCAGTGTCGCAGAAGCAAAAAGGGCCTGTTCAGAGGTATTAATTCCATCTTCGCGAATTTTTGAAAGAACTCAACATTTTCACTTCGGACTTGGAGGTTTTTGTGCGATTTTGGAGAGGGAATCAAGGGACTTCATAGAGGTAAGGAATTCTAAGCCTAAAACATAAATCTAATGTGTTATCACATGAATTAAGGGTGAAAAATCAAGGAATTAGAGGTCAAAAATGGAGGTTAGGGCTTGAACTTAAGAGAAAGGAAATTTGAGGTTTGAGGGAGCATTTGAGCTCGGATTTTGGTAAATTTGATATGTATAGACTCGTGGCGAGACGAGGAATCCGGTAATGTGAATTTTGTAATTTTTCGAGAAGTGGGCCCGGGGCTCGGGTTTTGCTAGTTTCGAGATTTTTGCTAATTTTCGATTGTTTTCGATTGGGTATTGTTCCTTTAGCATATTGTGATGTATTCGCTCTGATTTTGGTTAGATTCGACGCGCGTGGAGGCCGATTTGAGGGGCAAAGGCGTCGCGAGCTAGAGATTTCACCGGTTCGAGGTGAGTAATGATTGTAAATGATATCCTGAGGGTTTGAAACCCCGGATTTGCACCCATAGTGCTATATTGAGGTGACTTGCACGCCGGATAGAGAGCGTGGGGTACAGCACCGTTGGGGGACTGTGACTTGGTCCGTCCCGGCTGTTGATTTTACCGCGTAATTGACTGAAACTTATTTGATATTTTCATGATTTGGGCTGATTGCCGTATTTGGGCTTCGTGCCGATTATTTGAATCCTTCAGGGATTGATATCACTGTTTTCGCATTACTTTGCATATCATTTGATCTCGGTCCAAGGTTTTAATACTGTTTTGCAAACTCAGCCGTTTTTCTAAGATTTGAAAACTCAAACAATATTTTATTGACGTTTTGAGCTGATAACTATTATTTTAATATTGCCCAAGTGGCTTGTGTGCATTTCTGGACTGAGCATGGATCGGGCTGCGCGCCGCAGCAGTGTTATAATGATTTCTAGATATATGGATGGCTCGGGCTGCGCGCCGCAGCGGTATTGTATTGATATTAAGGCCGAGGGCCTGGTTGGTGCCACGAGATGGCTTGATTATTTGCGCTTGGGCTGTAGGAGCCCCTCCGGAGTCTGTACACACCCAGTGAGCGCCGTCGACGTTAAATGGATCGAGCTGCACGCCGCAGCGGGCACCGGAGCGTACCGTCATATGCATTGCATTGCATTCATGCATTTATTCCTATTTGTATTATTTGTCATGACATTTCAGCACTCGCATTTCATTGGCTTCCATGCTACTTCTTGCACTACTTACCTGATACCCTGGTGTTATTTGTTAATGGAGTGCTGTGCCCGAGGGGCTGACTTATGTGTTGACTTGCACTATCTGCTTCGCATTCATTTGCTTAACTGTTGGAGAAAGATGTTTTTGAAAGAGGTTTTAAACTGAGCCCAGATATTTCTAAGGATTTCACGGTTTTACTGTTTTCTCAAAGGGTTACATTGTCCTATGTAGCATGATGGCTTGCTTTACGTGGTTTCTTGCTGCTCAGTTATTATTTACCTTTGTTACTCACTGAGTTGGAGTACTTACTTTACTCCCTGCACCTCGCGTGCAGATGCAGGTATTGGTTTACCCGGTAGCGGGTTTGAGCTGGATGAGGATTTACTATCATAGCCGAGAAAGGTGACCGCCAGCGTTCGCGGCACCGGATTTCTTCCTTTTGATTCCAGATTTTATTTTATTTATTACAGGCTTTGTAATTGTATCAAAAAATCCTTCTAGATGCTCGTGACTTGTGACACCCCGGTCGGNTTAGAAGCTCGTGACTTGTGACACCCGGTCGGGTAGTAGTTAACAGTTTCTAATGCCATTAAGTTGTATCTTCTATTCATTTATGTTTAATAATTGTTAGTGAAAGGATTTGGGTTAGTTGGCTGGCCTTGTCTTCACGAGAGGCGCCATCACGATCGGATATGCGGGGTTGGGTCGTGACAAGTTGGTATCAGAGCCTAGGTTACTAGGTCTCACGAGTCATGAGCAGGTTTAGTAGAGTCTCGCGGATCGGTACGGAGACGTCTGTATTTATCCTCGTGAGGCTGCAGAACCTTTAGGTAAACTTCCCATTCTTGGAATTCTTATCGTGCGTACTTGATTCAGCTTGAGACATAACTCTTGAAATTCCTTCCACAGGACTGTATGCGCACATGAGCGCTCAGTATTATATGTGCCTTGATGGCTTGTGATTCCCCGATCAAGGGGCGAGATGTGATCTTCGTGAGTATGTTGGGCCAGTCTGGAGGACTTGAGGCCGGATCTTTGCCTATGGCTTGAGCACCGAGGTGCTGATTGTGTGAGCAAGTGTTTTGAACTTATATGTTCGGTATTGTCCCTATTAGCCGGAATGGCGGTTGGATATCCATGTGATGAGTATGTTAGTACTGCAAAATG